GGGAAGCAACTTTTGGTTGCAAAACTGGTTTTTTACTGTTCCTGAACTGCACTATACATCCACCATTTTTATAGCATTTTACATAGTACATCATAACAACTTACAAAGTTCTTGAGTTTTTGACTTTATGGTAATCCCCCCACGTAGACTTTTCTCTCTTTTTCTTCCGTATTCCCCTCGACTCGTAAGCGTTATGTAAGTAACCTTTGTGGCAGAACAAAAATATATATATGGTAAAAATTTATGAAAAATTTTCGTCTCTTCAAAAATCTGAAAGATTTTTTATAACTTTTTGGCGATTAACAACTACGCAAAAACACGATAAAAATGCATTATCTATTATTAACAGGTTATAGATGGAAAACTAAAATTAGAGTTAGAGTGCAGTTTACCCCCCAGCCGACACCCAACATTTGTATCTCGGCTCCCTGTTCACCTACAGGTGTGTAAAGTATACCAAAATGTTCGTCTTGCTCTGGCGAGTATTTTGGTATAATTTACACACCTGTAGATGCACAGGGAGCCCAGATACCACGCCATTCCAGGCTTTAACAGGCAGGCACGGATAGCTTTTGGGCTACGGCAGGCTCCCTTGCACAAGGGGACAGCGCGCTCGCTACGTTTTTGTTCGAAAATGAACAAACTTTGGACAAAACTGGATTTTTCTCGAAATGTAATAGAAAAATTAGAAACTCAATTAGATTTAAATATTCTAGACGCCAAGGCGCAGATTTTGAGACCTAACTATCGAAAATCTATTCTGGTACTATTTTGTGATGGTCTTTTGAAGTTCAGTTCAGGATTTTGTGCGGATTTAAATAGCGCTGAAACCAAGGATTGTCGCTGAAATCTGAGCCTAGATTGGGTAAAATCAAGGTCGACCAGGTTTGAAAAGCCGCTTCGCGACTTTTCAACCCTAGCCCCCGTTTTGGACCAATGAAAGTGTACACTTTACATAATTCGGCTCGACCGAAGCTCAAAAAACGGAAAATGCGCTCTCTGCTCCTTTATATAGGCTACCCCCACTTCCGGTGTGTGCTAATTGATTCCTAGCAAAGATGGTCTCGGATTTTTCAACAAAAAATAAAATTTAATGTCGAAAATAGACGATTTTGATAAATCTGATCTGCGTGCAGTCATCTCCAGCCCATTACGCTCCTAATGACGTATCAAACATACCCCTAACTACTCTCCTTCTTGAGATACGCCTGGAACAACCTGACGGAAGTTGCATGCAAAGTGGCACACACACAGACACTATTTTTTTATATATAGTAGGATAACCCCCCAGTGCGTGAAATCGACGCTTAAAATGGCTCCAAGTGACTGTTTTGCGAAAATGGACGCCAGTGGATCAACCGTCTCTTTTTTGATCGGGTTAATTTTTCCAGATCCTTATTGTTTTAGCAGTTTTCAATGGCTGGAGCACAGTTTTTAAGCAAAACGCAAAAGCTTGGCAAAGGTTTTGGGGAGAAATAGCGGTTGCACGTTGGTCCCGGGGGTCGAACCCGGACCCTCTGTTTGAGATTTGGGATCGGCGCTAACCGATTGCGCCGCGGCCCCGGGGGGTCCTATCCGTGCCTCCGTGGAATGCCGTGGATACGGTAGGTGGGGTTCGGCTGAGGCGGGGACTGAACTTAAGCCAAAATTAGTTTTCTCCTGTAAAATCCCTCGCCGCTAACACCTGAGTACCGAAAAAGAAGTTGGTTTCCTGCTCCTCATGGCCCCTCCCCCCGACGATAAGAAAACGCCGAGATTTCAAAAAAAAAAACACCTCGGAATAAAAAACAATAAAAAAATGCAATATTATTGATAAAATTAAATTAATAAAAGGAAGTACCTCCGATTGCAGGATGCTCGTCCAAGAGAAGTCTGATGTGGTTCTGATGCTCTGCAATTTCATCGAGTCGAAAAAGGAGAAATGCGCGCATTATTTCCCGGAAAGTACGGACACCCCAATGACGTTTGGCCCGTTTACGGTGAAGTGCGTCAACAGGGAGCAGGTCATTTGCAAACGGGATTTCTTCTATAAACGGTGGCATTTAGTTGAAATTGGACTGTACGACAACGGCTGTGATTATGGTGACATCATTGGTTGTCGAGGAGAATGGTGTTCAAGTGCATAAGCTGGAGCACTATCATTGGCTCGATTGGCCCGATCGTGGTGTGCCAACTGTCGATTTGGCTCCTATCAAGCTCCTCGAAAAGATCTCTCCCACACAGTTCGTTTTTTAAAGTTATCGGACGATAAACCAGACTTTTTTGTATTTTTTAAAAGGGGCAGCCAATTTTTATTTTTCCTGTTGACCCAGGTTGGCCTAGTAACTGAATATAGTGTTCTTATATTGTTTTTAGCAAGTTTGAACTATTTTTAAAGTAGCAAAACTTCCAAAAAAGTTAGAAAAGCGTTTAAAAATTTGGCCATTTAGCGGCGAAAAAAACTTGAGTTGACCTAAAATTAATTTTTATTTAAATGACCATAACTATAAAAATGGTTTATGACCGTAGAGGATTACTGCGGAAATGTTGGCTCCCCCGCTAACAGACCAGATCCACCTTGCCAGCCAGGATCATTATAAGCTTCCACAAAACAAACACGTTTCTTTCAGGACACCAATTGTGATCCATTGTTCTGCTGGAATCGGTCGTACTGGCGCAATCTGCCTGCTTCAATACACCCTCGAATCGATCGCTACCGGGCAGCCGTGCGAGCAAATCGACGTGCTGATGATCAAGCTGCGCGAGCAACGTGCAAACTCGGTGCAGACCGACGCCCAATACCTCTACGTCCATCAGCTTCTCCTCCATTACTTCGAAATGGTATCGATTCTGGTACTTGGTTGTTAGCGGGGGTGGGGCAGGCAGACAGTACTCACTACAGACACGGTAATCTCATTAAAGTTTTACGGATAGAAAGAATTTCCAAATCCTCAGAATTATAAAACTGTTCGAAAAGTTGACTTTTTGATCAAAAAATCATGAAAAATGACCGACAAAGGTCGAAATTTAAAAATTTCAAACCAAAACATTTTCCTAAATTTCCTAACAAGCAAAAGCATTTACAACAGATACATTTTCGCTTTCCAGGAGGGCTATTTGGACGCGTCGATCGAGAAACCGCTGCAGCAGTTCCGCGATAAGTACGAGGATTATGCCTCCAAGTTCAAGACCTGATCTTCCCCATCACTCCCTCCCTACTCCTGTTAAATTTCTCGTCTAGATGTGATGTGTTTGTTTGCAGTGATGGCTTAACGGAATTCATTGCACGGAATAAACGCTTTTTTAAAATTCATATGAAGAATGCTCTGATGGCTGTATTTACCTTTTTGCGAAACGTATTGAATTCGTGAAGCTTTTCGGACAAGAGCTTGTTTAAAAAGCAAAAAGTTTCTGAATCTTTATGCCTTCTGGACTACGGCAACCTTGGGAAAACACTGTTTGGATGGAGTCGAAACCAATTCATCGACTTGATGGCAAAGGCGTTCTTTGCTTTGTTCAAAAAAGTGGAGCCGAAATTGGCCGAATCTCGAAGATCAGAGCAGATCCCCTACGAAACCATTACTTGAGTTGCCGTCGGCGGGAGTGACTTTTTGTCACGCTGTAGTTTGTGTAGTGCCCATGCCGGTAAACAGCCCTCTTTTCCAGTCTTCACCCCAGTGCGCAAAAAGCTCGAAACTATTCAGCTAACCATTACCACAAATGGACATGCGTGGCGTGGAATACGTGAAGGCAAAGATGCCAAAACTTGGATTGGGAACATGGCAGGTAAGGATAAAATTTTGTGTGCTTTACATTACGTTTTAGGTCCGCAATGAGAGCATTCCAGCAGCAGTTGATGCGGCATTGGCCTCGGGATATCGTTTTATCGACACGGCGCAGATTTATGGTATTTTTTAGGCATTGTCAAATTCATTGGCTTTTAGGTAACGAGGCAGCGATTGGAAAGGCACTGAAGGAGGCGCTACCAAAGTACAATCTCCAGCGGTATGAGCGTTTTCCGTTTGGTTTATGATATTTTATTATAGTGCCGATATTTTCATCACCTCGAAGTTGGCACCGGCAAATCAGGGACCCGGCGCCGAGAAAGCGATTGAACAGTAGGCTTTTTGGAAGGGAAAATATGCTATATTTCATTTACAAAACCACATAACTATTGCCAAATTTTCTCATTTATCCGTTACATCGTTGAATGGTTTTGTTAGTAATGCAGTAAATGTTGCGCTGAGAAACCAACGTTTGCTCGCGTAATCTATACTTTAGGAGTCTAAAGAATCTCCAAACCGACTACTTGGATCTGCTGATTATCCACTGGCCAGGCTCATCCAATCCCTCAGAATCACCAAAGAACAAGCAACTGCGAAAGCAAAGCTGGGAGACGATGGAAAAGTTTTACGGTATTCCGGGACCCGGTTTTTTATATTATTTTATAGACGAGGGCAAGCTCAAGGCGATCGGCGTCTCAAATTACACGGAACGACATTTGCAAGAGTTGCTTGGACATGCAAAGGTTCGTTGTTTTAGCTGCATTGTTTGAAACAAAAAATTTCCAGGTTCATCCGGCCGTCAACCAGTGTGAATATCACGTCCACTATCAAACAAACAGCCTTGTGGATTATTGCAAGAAGAACCAGATCCACTTCCAGGTATTTTCGTTTTGTAATCTCCAACTAGTTTTTTAGGCTTACAGCAGCTTGGGCTCGCCAGAAGGCCGGAAGAAGCTGGCCGCTGACCCACAAGTCATCGCAATGGCCGAGAAGTATAAGATCTCCGTTCACGTGCTCCTCCTCGCGTGGGCTATCAATCAGGATATGAGGTTTGTAGTGTTTTATACGCCTCAATGGATATTTAGCGTATTGCCACGTAGTACACAGAAGGCCCATATCGAAGAGAACCTCAAGGCTGCCAGCGTGGTAACTAATAAATTTCCGGCATTGATTTTAATTTCAGAAACTCGACCCGGCTGATGTCCAATCTTTGCTGTCGGATACGGCAGACCAAAAATATTGCTGGGACCCGAATGTTGTTGCTTGAAATTTGGTACACTTTGCGAATAAATTTTCTTATACTCTTTTCTTATACAACGCAAATTAGCACTGTAGCTTCAATACCGTAGTCCTGAAGGTCGGTCTCTTTTCGATACGCCGCACTACAACTAACGCGAGGGAGATGGGGTCGCGTGGGAATGGCACACAACATAAGCCCATTGAGCTGAAGCAGCTGGTGAACTTTGTCTAAACCTATATTCAACCTCAAATGTGAGAAATGAAAGGGCTACGACTCGTTTTCCTGACTTTATTCCTAGTCCAAACCCTGGCCGACAAAGCGTTTTACCGGAAAATCCAATTGTAAGCCCTGAAACAGCTGGAAAAGCTTAAAAATCTTTAGGTCAAAATGCAACCGCGGACTCGATTGTGGCCGTTACGGCGATTGTATGGATTGCACATTCCCGAAGAATTGTGTATTTGGCACTAATGTTAGGGTTGGTTAAATACGCCAAAATCCAGCATTTTTCATTAGATCAACTGCACAACCGTTCCGCAATGTTTGCGGTATTCAATGTCGAGAGTCGCGAGATGCCGGTAATTTTGCTAAACATTTGCGTATCATTGTAGTGGCAAGCCATTTATTATCATTGTTTTTTTTCAGGTTTTGCTGGCAACTCGAGCCGAGCGAGTACAGCTGCACACACACTTCGAATTGCTCGACGACCAGCGCCGAGTTGGTGCCGGTGTTGTGCTCGGTGGGTTGGAAAAAGCGTTTAATAACAAGAGATACTCCAGGCTCATCAAGATGTTCTGTGCATGGGCAATCGTCACTTTTACAAGAAGTCCAGGTATGTTTATGATAAGAGTGAGCTGCCAAATATTTATAAAAATAAAGTTAGATTCTTATGAAAAAGCGAAAATATATCTTTCTCGATTTTCATAAATATATCTTTAGAAATAAATATAATAAAACGGCGTCATTTAGATGCAACTGGACTTCCGGTCACAGCTGGGCGAAGGCGCTTTTCTTATCGATTACGCTGGGCGGATTTGGAGTAAGAGCTGACAAATTTATACGGCGTTTAATACGTTTACGTATAGTTTAATAGAATACGGATAGCTTAAAAGATGCTATAATTTAATTAGCATAAAGATTCACTTATCTATTACACATACTTTTTTAAAATTAACAAGTTTTTCCGATTCAGGTAGACCGTTTCTATCTGGGCCTCTGGAAATCGGGCATCGGAAAGTTGTTCTCGTTTGGCGGGCTCGGCATTTGGACGATAATCGACATCATCTTGATCGCCGTCGGATATATACGGCCGTCTGACGGATCGCATTATGTGTAACAATATTATTTCTCATCAAGGCCATTGTGATCAAACGGGTACTCGGCACTGGTCTGAATAAAGCTTTTTTGATTGTCTCGACAGGAAAATTAAAAACATCAAAAAATAAATGAGTTCGCGGCGCTCCTATGCACACAAAACTGTCCGCGGGTGTTGTAATTTGTTTTCGAAGCGTTTTTGTGTTGTTTTTGTTATAAACTCGAGAATATAACTACCCTAGTTGGCAAAAAGTCAAAAGTCAAAACAGATGGAATCTCGAAAACTGGTCTCTTCAACCATCAGATTATTACCAGTCTGTAGTCGGCTCGTTTATCGGAGATCTAAAAAGAGTTTTCAGGGGGCGAGGGGGGAGAGACCAGTTTTTCCGGTAGTTATATAAGGCAATCCATAGGTCTGAAAAGCCAAGCTCATCCCCAAGTCATGGCCGGCTCTACAGGTTTGTTTATTATGATTGCCGTAATTAAACTGTTTTTCTTACCCCGAAAACTCGTTTTTTTATATAGCTTAGCGCCCTTTAAACCTTCCGCCTAAGGACAAACATTAAATTCAGCTCTACCTACCGTACCCCGCAATTTCCAGGCCTAATCGCCGTCGGGACGAGCGTGTGTGCTGTGGCGACACTTGCATGCCTGTTGGCTGTTTGTCTAATCGTCCAGGACATCTCCTCATTCCATGCCCGGATTCACAACGAACTCGACTCGTTCAAGGTAACACTAAACTACGGATTACAATTATGATCTGGATTTAGACTCACTCGGGTGAGGAACGAGATGCAATCCGTGACGCGTGCCTCGGCGTTTCCCCAAACGATGGCCAGATTCACGCGTCAGGCGTATGATGCTGGTGGTGCTTCCGGTGGTGCTGGAGGATCTGAATGCAGTTAGTTTTTAAAGGCGCGTTGGAGCCTAGGCTCCGGATTCTATCGGGGTTTTTTTTGCAGCCGCGACATTCGATGCGCCTAGAAGAACGTATCCTTCAGGAATTTTCCAAAAATTTCAAAGAGTCCTAGTTTAATGTCTTTTTCTAAGTCATTTTTTGCCATTCTTGAACGTAAGAACTTTACATGGAAAAGGCTTTACTTGAAAAGCTATTAAAAATCTCGATTTTCCGACCCAAATTGGCCCTTTTTCGGCTTCAATTTTAAATCTTACAATGCTCTCCAAGTTTTTGAAATAATTCTTCAGAATACCCCCCCCCCCCGCTAGTGCACAAGAACCTTTCAGACTGTGGCGAGGCCCCGGCGGCATGCCCAGCCGGTCCACCCGGACCACCCGGTGAGCCGGGTATGGATGGAATGCCCGGAATGCCCGGTGGAGACGGAAAACCCGGAATGTCCGGAAATTCGATGATCAACGATGTCTATCCACAACTGAAGGATTGCATCAAATGTCCGGCTGGGGAACCCGGGCCTCCTGGTCCTTCAGGGCCACCTGGGCCCGCCGGAAACCCCGGAGCCGATGGACCGCCTGGACCTGCCGGAAATGCCGGAAGCCCCGGGCAAGCGGTGAGTCGTTTTTAGCGCTTTAATCAAGTACATTTTGCCGAAAATAAGAATGTCGAAACGTTGTAGTTAACGACCCTTTCGACATGGTAAAATTTCGTCAATCTGCTTGTCGACAAATTGGCATTACGTCAGCAAAAAGCACAAAAGACAAAAAAAATTCAGGGTCCGGCCGGGGAAGATGGACATCCGGGAATGCCCGGAATGCCTGGACCCGATGGAATGCCCGGAAAGCCGGGAATGAAGGTAATTTTTCCCAAGGAATCTCTGTTAGCCGGCCTATTTTATTATGGTTTTAGTTTTAAGCAAATTTTCAAAAAAGGCATTTTAGTGAGAAAAATTTTCAAAAAATACACTGTCTAGAGCGAATTCCATTACGTTACGCTACTCCGTACACATTTATTCTCATATCTCTTTGAATTTTCCGCGATTTAAATGATTTTAAATTCGATTTGCAGTTCCTGCCCGGCGAACCTGGCCCAGCCGGGCCACAAGGGCCAATGGGCGAGATGGGAGCCCCGGGTATGGATGGCCACGATCCGGGCCCTGGGCCCCAAGGACCCGCTGGGTCTATGGGTGGACCGGGAAGGGATGGAACCCCGGGAACAGATGGGACACCCGGAGAACCCGGTGGAGATGGACAGCCTGGAGCCGATGCCGCATATTGCCCATGCCCCCCAAGGTAGCTTTCGAAAAAACAAATTTTGAACGGATGAGTACACTTTCGTACCATTTACGTGATTTTCAGAACGGGTGGGATGGCGGAAAGTGGTCCGGCCACTTCCGGAGCGAATGGCGGGGGCGGAGAGACCGGAAATGCCGGATACGCGCAAAACCCCGCGAAGGGCGGCGCCCAATCCTATTTGCTGCTATAGATATATTTCAATCGTTAAATATATCATTTATATTATAGCTGTGTAACGCTGAAATAGCAAGTATTTATTGTGGATACAACATGCAGAGGAAGGTTGTTTAGAATGGCCAGCAGTCCCCGGGACAACCCTGGATGATCGTCTCGAAACGACCGGTTTTCACCTGAAAATTGTGTTTTAGCAGCGTTTTCGTCGTCTAATGATTACCATAAGTGTTTCTACACTGTTTTTTACGTTAACATGCAAGTTTCAGTTAAAAAATACAAAAATATCAATTTTTTGACAAAAATCCTTGCTTTTTAAAGGCCGACCCCTTGAAATGCCGTTAAATTATGCTAAATTCATTACTGAGATATTTGCTATTAGGCTACTAGCATTCCTAACAGATACAAACGCCCCCCCCCCGCACCCCTGATAATGCCAAAGAACCTTGTTTGGTTGTTTTTATTGTATTTTCTGGTAAACTTACGTGCATGAGGACGGTGTAGGTGGTCAGCTTGTTGAGGTTGGTCTTCGACGAGAGCACGTTGTACATACCCTAGAATTTAATTAATGTTATTTACTATGTTTTTATCTTTTAAAACTCTTTATTCCATTATTAATTTTCTAATGCTAGTTATTCGCTATGTCCCATTTTATTCATCTACCTGGAATCCCATGTCCTTTTGGCCGAGCTTGCGCATGCAGCGATCTCCGGGTGTCTGGCGGTCATCGAGGTACAGCGGCTAAAACAATCGATTACGCCATGTTATTCAAAATTCATTACATCAACGTCGGGATCGTAGTTGGTCTGGAGGAGATACCAGCCATTTGGCGAGTGCGGGTCCAGCTCTGTCAGCAGATCCGTGCCGTTCAGGGCACTAAACGAATTCTTGTAATATCAAAATACCGACAGCCAAAATCCTGAAGGAGAAAATCCCGACAGGCCATAACCCCGAAAGTCCAAAATCCCGACATCCAGACCCCAAATCTCCATAACTCAAAATACCGACAGCTGAAATCCGGCAGCGCCAATTTCCGACACGCAATGCCGACAGCCGAAATAACGACAGGCCAAAATCCCGACACCCAAAACGCCGACGGCCCAAAACACCGACAGCCAACGGGCCGGTTTTTATCCCTCTGGGCCCGCGAGTACGGAGCGCGCTTTAGCAAACTTCCAGTACTTTCCTGCCTATTTACCAACAAGTGTATGGTGTATTGCAACGGAACTTCATTTTGTTTTCGTAATTTACAACTTTACATGTTTGTCAGCAATTGCGAGAAGAAAGATAGTTTGCTGAAGAATTTCTCTTCGTAGTTTCGGCTATAAGTTCCTCTGACCTTGGTTTCCAATACTAGCGTTTGTAAAACGCCTAGTCGTTGTGAAATCAAAAAAACTGTTCAGCTAGAACATAAAGCTAGAACTATTCTCTCCTGCGATGTGCCGAATTGCCAATACACGGCTCCATACAGTGGCAACTATTGAAAACACCATTTGTCAGCCCATGGAGTCTCAGTTCCTGCAAATGAAAATCCGAGCGATGGGAGCGGCCAGAAGAAACACCGGTGCGGTGGATGCGATGCAGCATATGGCTCGAAAAAGAAGCTATAGGAGCACGTGTAGAAGGAACGCAACCAAGGAGCGGGTACTTCAAAAATTGTGCGCAACGTTTGTGAGTTTTACGTCGTCACGCAGAAAGAGCTCGCACTGCATTATCGCGGACAACACATCCAAAAGCCTGTATAGTTTTTTAATAATAATTTAACCCATCTACTCACGAGGTGACGATGGTTATGATGGAGGATATTGACGTCTTCAAGCTGTGGCTCAAAATCACCGAGAATCGGACGTTCTCATCCTTCAACGTTCGTCGCAGCTCTGGCTTGCATACTTACTACATATGCACTTTTGCCGGCAGACGTCTTCGGTATCTAATGCCGGGCAACAGTGTTGTACAGCGTTTGTTCAGGTTTTCCGATGGCCCGTTTTCATTGAAACAATTTGTAAAATAAATTAAACCACTGTCTTGCCCACCGGAGAAACCTCCGTTAAGTATTGTGCTTACCATACGCATGACTTTGACCCTAAATTGATGAGCCTTGAAGTCTATAACCTATGAAACTACTGAAATTCTTCAGCAAACTATCTTTCTTCTCGCAATTGCTGACAAACATGTAAAGTGGTAAATTACGAAAACAAAATGAAATTCCGTTGCAATACACCATACACTTGTTGGTAAATAGGCAGGAAAGTACTGGAAGTTTGCTAAAGCGCGCTCCGTACTCGCGGGCCCAGAGGGATAAAAACCGGCCCGTCGACAGCCATAATACCGACAGGTCAAAATAGCCGCTTAAATTTTTGTTCCACCCTGCTAAAAATCACCCCCCCCCCGCTAACAGTCCAGCCCCGTTAGAAATCCAACTTTTTGAAAATTACCGGGTAATAATAGCTCCCTCCCACGGGTTGACACCACCCAAGATGTAGTAGACGGGCGACAACATCGGCACGTTCATCAACCGGTCTTTCGCCTCGGCGTAGGCTAAATAAAAATATAGAAAATTTATGAAAACTGCGAACTGTTAGCATTCTCCATGGTCTCGCGGGCGAGGGTGGTCATCCACTTCCCATTCGGCTCCTCGTCTAGCAGCCACTTGATAATGCCGACAAGGCCTAGAATCGGTAGAATATGTATAATGATTATCAGGTTAATCTAGGCCGAAATTACAAAAAATCACCGCCATCAGCCATAAAGCGCTCGTTGGCGGTGAGCGAGAATTTGCCTGGCTTCAGCGCGTTGTAGATGCCAATGTAGCCGGCAAAGTGGTTGGATTTGTAGAGGACTTTGCCTGAACAATGGGTTATAACATGTTCTGCGATATTAATAAGTATGATAATCACGTCAAAAGGATAATTCGTACTAATACATATAACGTAACGCACCGTCCTTGATCCAGTTGACGTTGAGGATCATTTTGCGCAAATGCTGCGAGATTTCCCACTCGTGTTTCGTGTAGTTCCAGCCGAGGAAAAGGCCAAAGTCGAGGTTCCTGGAACATTAATATTGTTCGGTACTGGTCTGCTAGCGGGGGGGGGGGCTAAACTTTATTGTTTCGCCTACTCGCTATCCTGTTAAACATAGATAAAGCATTTTCATTGTGTTCTCAGTAGTTTTTAGCGATTTAAAATCCTAAAATTTCTTAAAAAAATTTTATAATTTAAAATTTTTGATCTTTTTTGTGTCATTTTTCATAGATGTTTGACCAAAAAGTCGAAAATGTTTGTAATTTTTTAAAGTTTTACGTTTACGTGCTTTTGATCTTGAAAGATGTAACGAAAGACGCGCAAAAACCCCCCAAAAATGCCAAAACCGACCTCGAGTGGTACATATCGTTCGACGCATCCTGGCCGACGATCGACGTACAAACGGTGAAAATCTCGTAGAAGATGTTGTACAGCACCACTTGGCCGATTGGAATGTCGGCCGTTTGAGAGATCGACTAAAAAGGGTTTAAAAAAGAATTTATTTACAACGCTTAGAAGAAAAAAAAGATTAGCTGACAATGAGCTCCTCACGATATGGCGACTGGAACTTCTCGATCGTCTCGGCAAAGACACCGTCCACAAAGTCGAGTGCACCCGGGAAAATCGGGGTGATGAAGTCTGGAAGGAAGTGAAGGCTTTGAAAAATAGCACCTACCGACGAGTACTTGGATGAGGCCGTGGATGTCCTGCTTGTAGCGCTTGGCAATTTGCACCCAGCGCTGCGACGGGTCGGCGTCGAGGTCGATGTTGAACCTGGAATGTGCTTCATTTCGTATTTTAAAAGAGAGCTCTTGTTCAGAATTCATCGCTCTATCAAATGAGCTCGAGGAAAAGCTGAAGCAATCTATGCTCACAGTATTAATGGCTTAAAGAGGAGCTGGAGCTTCATTTTCAAGACGATATACAACGCTGAAAGCGCACGCTCAGTTAGTTGGACGCATATTCCTATCTACATCTGCATCGCTATCTCTCTCTCTCTCTCTCCCGCTCTCTCTCTCTCTCTCTTTGTCTCAATCTCTCTGCGTAAATAGGAATGTACGTCCAACGTCCCTTAAAAAAGTTATAAAAGTTAAAAAGTAATAAACAAGCCCAAAAATCAACGAAAAAAGCCTCACCACGGCACATCAAACTGATCGCCCGGATCGTAACGATTGGTGCCATTGTCGAGGATACAGAAATCAGTGTAGGGCGCGGGCAGCTCGACGTGCTTCGAGAGGCCGGCCACCGCCAATGCGGCCAGCAACACGTAGGTGCGCATACCTAAAGGTAGTACTACTGCAACAAAACGCCAATATCACAACCCAAATACATGAGAAATCCCGAGATAGAGCCACCTAAAAAGTTCTCTAGCCTTTTTCCAAAGCCGGTACTTCTGCCTTATCGGGGAGACAAACTTCTTTCCTACTTCCAAACTTGTTTTTGCTATTTACAAACGTAAGAACTTTACAAATTTTTATTACAAAACACAAAAAATATAATTTTCGACAAAAAAACGTCGATTTGCACAAAATTTGGCGAAAAATTGTTCCTGTTTTTCCGGTTTTACACAAGAAATTATAATTAAATATAATTAATATAATTATAGTCCACTAAAAACACTATTCAAAGACTTAATACTAAATTACTGGGGACTTCTGTACTTATAGGAGGCAAAGGGTGGGCAAAA